ATGGAGTGTTTATAAACTTGCCTAGTGTATGCTCAAAAACTCAGTATAACATCATGACTTACCTTGCTCTTTCTTTAAGATTTTGCTATTAAACATCATCAGTCCCCCCTGCTTAGAAGGACTATATCTAACTCACTGTTGTAACTACACATCCCAGCAGAGTGCATGTATAGGAGACCTTTATTTAAAAAGAAGGGAATGGAAGGACTTATGTAACAGATGTGGGCCAAGGTAAAAATTTTAAAATTAAGGTTGACTTTATAAATATCAAACACAAATATTTTTCAGGAGAAAATATGCACTGCAAATAAATGGCCTTTCTTCTACAGACTGGAAAACCTGAGTCCTACTACTGGTTCTGAGAGGATCCAAATGACCTGGACCAAGAATAACAAAGATGGTAATGCAGCCAATATCAACTAAACACCTTAGATATACCACGTCTGAGTTCTATGCAACCTGATGTTATATAACACACACAACAATCTTACGAGGTAGACATTATCTGAGTATACATTTTGTAGTTGAGAAAAACCACGGAGAAGTAAAGGGACATTCCCTAGGTGTACCTAGTTAAGTACAATGCCAGGAATCAGTTAGACAGTGACTCTAGTGCACAAGCTGATAGCTTCTCTGTGTTGATTTGCCTTTCCCTTAAATTCTTATTTTGGAAAAAGAACACATGCACACATACATGAGGATGAACTAAATCATTCCTAAGGCCCCATGCAACTACTTAAATGTACTTATTTTTGTTAAATGTACTTATTTCAAATTTCAAATGGTATCTCAAGAAATATGATTTGAATTGAAAAAAAAAGTGTGGGGTCACCACTTCTACTTTACATGGCTTCACTTACTCATCAAATCTCCCCGCAGATTCCCAGGTTTTCATACATCACTCTGAACAGCTAATTATCTTTCAAATGTCCTGGGGCAGTGGGTGTGCTTTTCACCTACCATTTCACATGATGAGCAAGAAGTGTTCTTTTGTTTATTTAAGGAATTTTTTATCTCTTTCAGCAGCATTTTATAGTTTTCAGTATACAAATCTTTCACCTCCTTGGTTAAATTATCCCTACATATTTCTTTCATTAAGGTGCTATTGTAATTAATAACTTTATGTTTTATTGTTCATTGCTGATATATAGAAACACATGAGTTTTTGTGCTGCTCTTTTAACCTGAAATTTTTCTGAATTTGATTATTAGCTCTGCTATTGGCTATTTTTGGGAAGGCATTATGAGAAAAGGACACATGCTCAACAATGATTTCATAAAAAAATTATTCACAGGGCCTCCCCGGTGGCGCAGCGGTTGAGCGCTGGGTTGCGAAGCTGCCCTCAGCCTTTGCAGCGCCAGTTCAATCCCTGGTTGCTCCCCGGCCACTGGAGGAGGGTCCCACATGGCGCACAGACCTCTCCTGCTGCCCGCTGCTCCCTTCAGCAGTGTACTTTGGTCCTTCTGCCTGCTCTGCTCCCCGCTCTGGCTCTGGTGAATTCTCTCACCCTCCCACACTTCTGACTGTACCCAGTGTTTATATGAATAAAAATAAATAAATCTTAAAAAAAATTATTCACAGACAACAAATTATAGATGATAAAAATGGTTAGAAATTTGAAGACTTGTCGGAATAACCACCTTCTCAGTCTCAACTTATAAATGAAACAATTGAGAAGGCCTTTAACTGTGGGATCCCCAGTCCCCCTTATTCTCAGGGATATTATCTTGGTGCCCAGAGTTCCTGCTGGTCAAGCTAAAATGTAGAGTCAGGCAGGGAATCTCTCACCAGGGCAACAGTCTTGGGTCTGAGGAACATACTAGGAAACCAGTATCTACTGAAAACAGCAGGCAGACTTTATGGCCAGATTAGCAAAACCATCTACCCTACCTTGACAGAAAGTTAAGTGAGAACAGGAACTAGAGATAGGATGCTTTGATCAGCAGGAACAATGGAGCCCCCCAGGCAACAGTCCCTATTCAAGGCCCCCCAGCTTGTGCCAGATAATTATGCATTCCCTGTATAAATCCCCACCACATACAGACTATTATTCGTCCCAATACACACCCCATCATGTGCATTCCTCCAGACTTGCCCACCTCCCTGAACCTGACACTCAGTAAATGTGAGACTACCCTTGCAGAGGGGCTGCACATCCTGAGGTGTGAGCCCCTCTAGGTCTCTCTTTCTCTACTTGGAGTTTAAGTTGTCTTTCCTCAGTCCCACACTGCTCCCAAAGCTGTCGTCCCAAGAGGCAACATTTAATAACAAAGACCAGGGCCTCCCTGGTGGCACAAGGGGTTAAGATGCAACCTACGAAGCTATACACAGCCACTGCAGCACGAGTTCGATCCCCGACCAGGGAGATGCCCACATGGCACGGCAGACCTCTCCTGACTCATCCACTGCTCCCCTCAGCAGTGTATTTCAGTCAGTCTGCCTGTTCTATTCCCCACTCTCTGTGTGGTGAATCCTCTTACCATACCCCCACACCTCTGGCCTGTACCCCAGTTCTTGTATGCATAAATAAATAAACTAAAAAAATAAAATAAAATAACAAAGACCAACTGAATTCATCCTCCCAGCAAGCATTAAGCTAAGCATATATTAGACACATCTACTCAAGAGCCAATGGTGCAAACTATCTCAAGAGGCTGTTACCATCCTGGCTGTGACCTGGATCAAAAGGTTCGGGAAAAAGAAACCACCAGGATTTCTTCAACCAGGTTTGACAACTGAACTTATCTTTAATTAGAGAGACACAGATAAGACAGGTAACCATGAGGATAGAAAGCACAACAAACATTAAATCTATGAAGTAGATCTCTAAAATAACTGGAGTTGCCTTTGAGAAATGGAGCTGAGAGTTATCAAAAAGAGAAGACAAAAGAACCAATAACCCGAACTGTGAGTATTTGCTACCTAAAATGACCCATGGCTTCCAATTTCCTAGACAGGAAGCAAAGTGAGAAATGGTCTGATCTCTAATAATGACATCAGATAGAGCCACAAAGACGTGAGGAATTTAAAACCTACAAGATCAAAGAACACTGAACCAGACGCCCTGTCCCTCGACCCTAAAGAGAGCCACAGTAAATTAAAGAGCAGGCCCCCTCCATGGCAGAGGTGTTCTTCTTTAATCTATTCAGTGAGATGTCAGAATTGCTACATTTGAGTGACAGCTGTGCACCCCATTTCTTCACCTTCCCAGCTGACGTGCTGATGGCAAGTGACCCTGCCTGTGTCTTGTCACAGTGTGCCCGACATACTACGAGTAAAACTTAGGTTTTTAGTGTCAAAAAGGACTGTAAATCTGGACCTGAGATGTACAGACTAGCACATCATTCCCCACTCATCACCCAGAGATCTTGGACTTCCAAACTTGAGGCCACACCTGGACAGAACTTTTGGATTTTCTCCCACGGGGACAGGATGGAGACTGAACACGTGGTGACCAAAAGTACAGACTATGATATATTATTAGTGTTATTAATCAAATGTCAAATGTTTCCTGTTTCTCTCCTTTAGTTCTCAGGTAGAATCTCACCACCTGGCCCCATTATGATTTGGTGACACACAGAAATAAACAGGGAGTAGAAGGATCATTTCCAGGCCAGACTATTGAGTGACTGGGAAGACATGTGACTCTCCCTCACTCTGCAATGCCAGTAGTCATGCTGAGGAACTACACCAGCCGACTCCTTCCTATGGTAAGGACCATGTGAGACCAAATCCCAAGACCATCCTTAAGGCAGATGTCATGTTCAGGGCATGACCCAGCCTGCCTGGCTAATATCAGCTTATGTTGTTTCACAGTTCTATGACATTAACTGTTTCCTGTGATTTTTCTATCCATTTGCAAAATCATATCCATCATACCTCTGACAACCTCGTATTTCACCATCCAAGAGTATAATTGTTCCATCAAATTCATGAAATAATCTATGGATCTCCTACCCCAAGCCACTAATTAAAATGACATTGAAAAATATTTAACTGAATCCAATCTTGGGGGTGTGGTGGTAAAATCTCCATTGAAATTCTTTTTTTTTTAATATATATATATATTTTTATTTATTTATTTATACAAGCACTGGGTATAGTCAGGAGCGCGGGAGGGTGAGAGAATTCACCAGACCAGAGCAGGGAGCAGAGCAGGCAGAAGGACCGAGGTACACTGCTGAGGGGAGCAGGGCGGCAGGAGAGGTCTGCGTGCCATGTGGGACCCTCCTCCAGTGGCCGGGGAGCAGCTGGGAATCAAACCAGCGCTGCAGAGGCTGCTGGCAGCCTCGCAACCCGGTGTTCAACCGCTGTGCCACAGGGGAGGCCCTCCATTGAAATTCTACCTAATCTTGTTTTCCTCTTAGGATATTTTCTCTCAGTGATATAAAATAGATCCATTATATAAACTTGATTTTATTTTCACCTACCACATTTTATGTTATTCAAAATTGTTGCCATGGCCTCTTGCATATATTATTTATACTGTGCTACATGGGTAAATGTTCCTCAACAGATTGTTTAATATGAATCACTAATCATGTCTTTCATGCCCTCTAACACATTAAATCAGGAAAAGAAAATTCAAATAGAAACCAGCGTCTACATGCAACCAAAGCTAGCGCAAACATAAATAAGGACTTGAAAAGATTCAAATATTATTTAGAAATCTTATGCCACTACAAATCCTTTCACATACCATAATACATTTACACTTACTCTCTGTTTCTGTTTTTTGATGAATAATATTATAACCCAGATATCCACAAAAGAATTATCATTAATGTGGGGGAGACCCACATATTTTAGGTCTTGGGTCCTATTTTTAGCCTATCATAAAATTCCCAACTTTAACACAGAGTTTACATAAGCATATTTTTCCCTCCAAAATAACCAAGGAAAGTAAATGGCATGAAACTGAATAAACAGTTTTAGAACTCTCGGGGGAGGGGAGTCAGAAAGAAAAGGGTAAATATATGATGGCTGTGCAGTTCTATTACCTGAGAATTCAACAACTCCTCACACTTGTGTGCTTGTTTCTCAATTGCAGAAATGTACTGCTTTTCAATTGCTTCTACTTGTTGCTTGACTGAAGACTGCAGTAGTGCCTAAAAACAAGCAGAAAAACAGTCGTTTGGATCACAGACAACACTCAGCGTCTACTGTGGGCATGCATATTTTTCTTGACAGTCACACATATCTGAAACATGATATGCTTCTAGCTACAAAACACACAGTTGTGCACATCAAGTACACACATCTGTCATGCTAAGCTTTCACTTCTGGGTTTTCTTTCCTACACCCAAGACTACAGGTTTGGGGCTCAGCTGTTCCTTCCACACACCTTCCTCAGTAAAGCCACAGAAGAGAAGATGATAAAGAGGGTGAACAGTTCTGTTAAATATAAATTCAATTTAGTGAAGACCACACAGGATGAGGAGCGTATGAAAGCTGCTGAAAAATAAAAATAAATAAAAAAAAAAAACCAGACATATTTCACTGGCTGACAAAACTCCACATCCTCTCGGCGCACTGTCACATCCCACGGGCCAAGCATGACCGTCAAGACCACAAGTCAAGTAAAAGCAGATGGAAACTCTGAGCAATTTCCAACATAAAATAACTGCCCCCCCAGGAAGTTCACGCCCCTGCTGTGAAGAGGTGTGAGTCCAAGTGTGCAAGTTCAAATCACAAGGCAGTACCCTTAAAAGTCATCAAACTTGGGAGACAGGACACACTAAATGGGCAGAGTGTAAATGTGGGAGCTTCAGTCAAAAACCCCAAAGACTGCTCACTGGCTCTGAGGGCTAGTGGAGGGGCAGCAGAGGACCTCCCATCCCCCACTTCCCTACAGGAGATGCTGAGAATATTAACATCTTTTTCCCTCCCCCACCCTTTTTTAAAGCATTCTGTGCTATACTTAACATGCTCCCAATATTATCTTACATGCTATTTATAAAGCCTAAATCATTTAAAAATATGCACTCAACCATACACATAAGAGCTCTTTAGCAGATATTCTATTTTTGAAGCTTTATCTGGATAATAAACTACTCATAATCAAAATGGTAAGTTGAAACAGACACGTCTTATAGAAAACAGACCTTTGGCACATTCGCCAAGAGAAAAGTAAGCCAGATCTCTTAAATAATCTTTGTTTTGAAAATAGATTTACTTGGTTAGAAACAACATGTATTAAGAAGCTAAATAAATATGCATCTATTTTAAAAAATTGAGACAAAAATATTTTTGAAACCTCTGGATCCATCTCAAATTTTTAGATAATTACCTTTCTTTTGCAAATGTTAGCCTATCTGGTGATACTACCACTCCTGCAATTCAACAGTTGTCACTCTGAGGCTGCAGAGTGACTAGTAAGTTGGCAAAGGGAAACAAAAAGCTCTGACGAGGTTTAACCCCAATGTAAAGAACTGCTTCAGCCCTTCACCATCTTCTCAAATGATTCGTTCATATAAGGCTGAACAATTTAGCCTCTCATACTCTAACTAGATAATGTAAAGTTCTAGAAAAATACACTAATTGTAGGACTTCAGGAGTGTAAAGAATGGTATAGTTATAGGCAGTTCCCATGGGTATATTTCCAGCGTCTTTTGTAGGGAGAGAAATGCCACTTTCTGGGATACAACCAAATCGGTGTACTTAGTGGAATGAGCTATGTTCACTTGCCTCCCATGCCATGATCCAAAGAATCCCATAATTTAAATACCGAACTGTGACTTCTAACAGATACATTTTTTTGGACGGACAGGTAGGTTAATGAAAGAAAAGAATATTTTGTCACCATAATTAAGAATCATTTAATTCTTAGTCATTTTGTCTTCCAGTGATTGCTTTACATATCACAAATCTCAGTTTTCCCCAAACTTCATAAAGGTGAGTATAGAACACAGTGAATCAACTAAGACCCCAAACATTGGGGAAGGAGCCTTTCATAATGCTCAACCCCTCATCTTAGTCGCGTGTGATTATTTAAATTCACAGATCTACAGAAAGGAAATGTAGGTAGGTTCCAGGAACTGAATATTTTTTTTAAGTGTCCATATAGAGTTCAGTTAACTGTTGAGGTGAAAACTTTTCTACATAACCACACACCATAGTTCTTTTTTAAAAAAAGATATATTAATTTATACAACCACTGGAGTACAGGCCAGAGGTGCGGGAAGGTGAGAGACTTTGCCAGACAGAGCGGGGAGCAGAATCGGCAGAAGGACCGGACCACTGCTGAGGGGAGCAGCGGGCGAGGCAGGAGAGGTCTGCTGTGCCTTGTGGGAAACTCCCTGGCCAGCTGGGAATCGAACTCGTGCTGCAGAGGCTGCAGACAGCTTCACAGCGCTGTGCTCAACCCACTGCACCACTGGGGAAGCCCCACACACCATAGTTCTATACAAGTGTCTATCACACTAAAGTAAGGTGTGCAAGGCTGCTGTTAAAAAGACTCAACACTCTCCACTAAAACAGTGAACAGGTAAGAATACCAGGAGTTATGGGAGGAGGGCAAATAGTAACTCAGAAAATAAGAAAAGCAGGCAGGTGCCAGATAAAGACCTTGTATACCATAACAAAGTTGATCAAAAAACAGGCCAACAAAAGTGATTTCCACAACCTATCCTAACAACTAGAATACTAACCATTATGGACACAGGAACACACAATGGTACTAATCACCTGATTTTATGACTTGATCTTTATTGAACTGGGTATTTTCTTTTCCAATGTAATATACCATAGTAACTGCCTTTAAATTTCTCAGATATTGTAAGCATAGCAATAAACGTTACTCTTAATATGCCCCTGAAATGTATTTATTTTTCCTCTGTAATTTTCTTTACAGATAACAGAGACATACAAAAGCCTTCTCTGGGGCTTATAAAAGACTATAAAAGGTTAAATGAAAGAACTATTTCATTTATAAACTAAACTATTTTCAGCACATATAAAGCATTATGATGCTCACAGTATATAACAGCAGAAAGCAAAGGTGTCTACAAGCACTCTGTAATGAAAAGTACACTACCACAGGCCGGGAATGCTTTATTGATTTTCAGCATATTTATGTTTTAACCTCAGGTTTTAGCAGAGAGTCTCTGTATCATCCCATGGGGGTTGAGATCATCTTACTCAAGCTTGATGGATGCACAAACGTGCTGTAGTTAAGAAATACACTCCCAAGAGACCCAAAAGACACTGTGGAACCCAGAACTGAATTCTGCTTCCACCTGTCTGCCTCCTATTTGTCTTAGCTGTTTTAACCTGCTAAGGCAGATTTCTCTCCATTAACTAAGGGGCTTATCCTATTTTTTTTTTTTTTAAGATATATTTATTCTATACAAGAACCGAGGTATAGGCCAGAGGCACCAATCCTGGTGAGAGGATCCACCAGAGACAAAGCGGGGAGCAGAACAGGCAGACTGATGAAAACACTGCTGAGGGGAGCAGTGGGCGAGACAGGACAGGTCTGTTGCGCCATGTGAGACCCTCACCGGTGGCCGGGGATCAAACCAGCGCTGCAGAGGCTGCACGCAGCGCTCAATCACCTGTGCCACCAGGGGAGGCCCAGGGGCTTATCCTATTTTTATCAACCACATAATTATGTATTCATTCTTCATTTAATTACCATTTACTGAAAGCATACTTCGTTCCAGACACTGTTCTAGGTACTGGGGATACAGAGTGAACAAAAAGAAATGATTCTGGGTCTTCTGAATTTGCAAATTGGCAAGAGGATACCATTTCTGATGGCATTCCATGCTATGGTGAAAATGAAAAGGGATGAAATGGAGAATAATGGAGGAGAAAAACTGCAGAGAGAATTGTCAAGAAAAGGCTCTTTGGAGTAGAGCAGGCGGGATTTAGAAATCACAAGTGAAACAAACTCGGCCATATATAAAGTCTGGGGGAAAAACATTTCCATCAAAGGAAAAGATGCAAAGTTCTAAATGGGAATCAGGCCCGTGAGTTCAAGAACCAGAAAAAGAGTAGAGTAGATCATGGGAACCAGGGAATTGCATTAAACGCTAGAGCAACTCCAGAGTCTGGTCCTAAAACAGATCAAACTTCTTATCTTAAGGTCTGGGTCTTACTGAATCTTATGCCTAAAATGTGAATCAGGGATCAGAAGAGTAGGTAAAGGATTATATTGTATAGAACCAAAGCAAGACATTTGAATTCCATTCCAATTGCAATGAGTAAGCCCAAAAGGCTTTAATCAAGGTTTCTATAATCTGATAGACTTTTAATATGTCCAAACATTGCTGTAAGCACTCAAATGCTATCAAAACATTCTCCATCAATGGAGAATTTTTGAGAATGAAAATCAGTAGTACTCATTTCTGTGGCTACAGACACAAATTTGAAACTCACATTTAATGTATCATGCATGAACATTTTTCTTATTCAGTAGAATTACGAAAAAAGCAATTATAGTCTCCGATAATGAAGGAGTTAATCCTAGTAAGAACTAGCTGAATCTCACTTCTCACAAGAGTGCTAGAGATACACTGGAAGCATATCTGTCAAATGATACTTGAACTTCATCTGGACACTAAACATGCAATTCTTTTACACATTTAACATTTTCCACTTCACAGTGAAAAGACGAGTAACAAAGAGTATGAACATGAAGAGAACGCAGCCAAATTGCGGACTGGACAGGGCTTCAACTTGTCATAACGTTCACTGACTCTTGGCTAATCAAGGGTACCCTTTGCCATTCTGGGGTCTAAAACGTCAATCTGTAGTTTTCTTGGCTTGCAGTTCAGAAGGAGAAACTAATAGTTTCATACAAACATACATATATACATACATACATATATATATATATATATATATAGAGAGAGAGAGAGAGAGAGAGAGAGAGAGGTAGAAAGGTAGGTATTATATATTGGGTTGTAGAAAAGTCATGAGGCATTTTTGCATAGAAAAAATATGGGGCCTCCCCGGTGGCTCAGTGGTTGAACACTGGGTTGTGAAGCTGCCCGCAGCCTCTGCAGTGCCGGTTCGATCCCCAGCCGCTGGGCGAGGGTCCCACATGGCGCACAGACCTCTCCTGCCGCCCGCTGCTCCCCTCAGCAGTGTACTTCGTCAGTCT